TTAATAGTTTTGAGTTGTAGACATTTATATTTTTACTTTATAGTTTATAATTTCAAATTGTAGATATAATATTATTTGACTTTTTTCGGATTTTTAATTATTTTTTGAACGGATCAAAGGAGGCTGACCATTTCTAATTGCTTTCAGATAGTAAATCTGATACGGATCCCAGTGCATGTGCAAAACATGCAATATTGGGTTTTGCTTTTTTCAAAGGTGGTGTCACTTTCTTCGAAAAGTACCATGATGAAAAAAATAGACTAAAGTGTAAATAATATAAATATTATATACTCAAGTTGCTTTTTTTTTTTTTTTCATTCATAAGCATGTAATCATCATATAACCCAAAATGAGCTTTTTAGAGGGGTGTAGAGTAGCAGATCTCCCCGTGGCACACTCTGGGTAATGCTCTAGTATTGAGAATCTAAATCTGCTATAGTATTCAGAATCTAATGTTTTTTAATCGTAGGCAAAATATCTTACTATTTTACGCACTTCCCAGCAATGCTCATTTCTGAACTCTTTTCCAAGCTCTATTTAATCAGTGTGCTCGCTATGGGCACACCCCAAGAATTAAAACGATAAGTGCTATCTTTACAAAATTTTACTTGTGTAGTCCTCTAGGCTTAATTAAAGTGCCTACCTTTATTTTTTTATCAAAAGTCCAACTTTAAAAGGTAGCGTGCCGGAAAGGATTAATATGGCAGTGATGATAATATATTCCTTTTTCTTATTGAGTTTTTTAAAAACTAAAACTGTTAATATTTACTGTAATTTTAAAATTTACTGCATATGTTTATTAATTTTGAAATAAAATGAGAAAAAAGAATTTTGATACTTAATAAATATATTAATTGCTATTGAGAACTTTGGTTGACTTGATCATAATAATGTAATATTGAATTTTTTATTTGCGTAATAACCATTGACTTAGCATATGCTATTTTTTTAATTAAGTCAACTGCTGATTAATCAAGACAAATAGTTGCATCAATGTACACAGTTAGCTCATGGTTAATTAAAGAGCAGTTAATGTAAATGTTTAAATCATTTGAATGATTCTATGTAAAATATATTAATATTTAAGTGGATAACACAAGAGCTATCTGCCTAAGGAATAGAAATGCCTTCACGGAGGTCTTTTTAAGAGAAATTGGCTCATATTCACATTAAACATGAAAAACCACAAAAACTGTCCATGCAGTCTGCCTGTTTGTGTAGTTTTGAGCTGCTAGTATCTACTTGATCACTGTTGGGCAGTAATCTAAAAATATGGTTAGTCCAAGACACAAGAAAGAGGAATAACCCACATTGTAATTAATAGAAAAATTCTATTGTTAATTTACACATATTTTTAAGCATTTTAATTTGGAGAACGAGTTTTTTCAGTTATATAAAGTATACCAGTGTTCAATACAAAAGAACATACAGTAAATGACACAAGAACAAACACAATTAGAAATGAAGAAACTAAGTTATAAATGACATTAAAGAACAATATTTACAAGAGAACTTGAACAGTTTAGTTTTATGCTGATGGTTTGTAATAATCATTCTGCAACAACCAAATTTAACTTTTTCTTGAGACAGGACCTGGTTTTTCAGGATTTGACTGTATGTGCATAATCTTGTTCTGTTAACCTGAGTGTGTTTTATGTTTGTTATTATTGTAATGGATCTCTGAGGTTTGCAAAATAATGAAAAATAAGTCATCTTTCCCAGCCATATCATGGAATATTTTATTTCTCACATAATCAAATCATACTTTACTAAAGTAAGTGTGCTGCAGAAGTGTAAGTAGATGATGTTAATCAGAACAGAATCTGGTTTGAAAGAAGCCACATCAGTTTACAATAATAATATGATTTTATTGTAGGTGCAGAGAATTAATATCGGTCAAATTTTGTCAAGTTGGTATGATTGGTAAAATCGCCATAAATTGGAATAATAATAAAGAGTTTGACATAGTTGCCAGTTCTCCTAGGTTTAGCTGTACACTCCTGCTTTTTTGTCATATCTCTTAGTGCATCTCTGAATCTCCCATTTTTAACTTTTAGATTTTGCCAAGATTTTGCTTGCAATGAATGTAATTTATTGAAGTAATGAAACCTAAATTGTGCTAGTTCCATTTTCCCACCTTCAGTGATATAAATTTTGTTATTAATTTTAATTGATCTAAATTGTCTTAATTTACTGCAGACATTTGTTGAGTTTTCCAAAGATTCAACCAATGTTTAATCAGTTGAATATTTGTATTTAATCTTGTTTTGCACCTATAAATGGTACATTATTACATTTATTCACATAATGGTATGTATGTTAATTATTAATTTAATTATTATTGTATTTAAAAGTGATAAATAAAAGCTGGAGAGTTTAAAAGTGTAAGAAACTTACAAAATGAAATTAGCTAAAGAATGTAAAATTTAGATTATCCACTTAAATATCAATATATTTTACATAGAATCATACTATAAATGGTTAGATAGCATACATGCAATTCAGAAGTAAAACAACAAAAACAGCTTACAAAACTTTCACAGGACTAGTTTCGAGTTTTACCGAACCATCATCTTCAGCTGCAACCGCAAATGAACAGATAGGAATAATGTTCGATAAGATAGAAAGCCTTAAGAAGTCATGTTGGCGAAATCCATCCTTAAAATCTTCACCTTCGGACTTATCCCAAAATAAAAACTGCGATCAAATCTTCGCAAATCATTTCAAGCAACTTAAAACATTCGCTTATCCCATCTGTTGCGAATTGTGCCAAAGACAGATTATATGCTCTTCCCAAAATTCATAAAAGTGTATTCCTTTCCGCCCTATTGTATCAAAATTTAGGTACTGCTGTTCCATTAGCTAAATATTTAGTTTCTAGATTTTCCACTCTATTAGACATAACATTTACACCATAACAAATTCAATAGAGTTTGTAAAAAAGGTTAAAAACATTTCTCCTCGTAATTACTCATGGTTTCTTTGATGTAAAATCATTATTCACCAATGTCCAGTGGAGGGGCATTAAGATGTCTAGAAACCAGACTTCGCGAATTTCATTTCTCTTGCATCGAAATTGATGAGCTAATTTCTCTCACCCAACTCTGTTTGAAACAAACACATTTGTTTTCCAAAATAAATATTACAAGCAAACTGAGGATTAGCCATGGGAACCCCCCTCAGTCCCATCCTGGCTGATATCTACATGCATTATTATGAATCAAAATTGTTTTGAAACTTTAAACTTCCCGGCATGGTTCCGCTACGTAGACGATACTTTTACCCTGTTTGAAGGTAATAAAGATGATTTAAATAGAGTTCTTTCAACAATGAATTCTATTGATCCTGCTATTCAGTTCACTTTTGAACTTGAGACTTGCAATTCTCTTCCGTTTCTCGACATTCTGGTCACACGTAACACATCCAACTTCAGTACTACAGTTTACCGTAAACCTTCATCGGTTTGCCTTCCACCACACTTTAAATCATGTCATCCGACTAAACAAAAGTTAGCTTCATTTTATTCCTATGTTTTCCGTGCTCTTCAAGTTTGCTCCTCCAAACTAGCTCTTGATGAAGAACTAAATTATTTAAAAGCAATAGCTATTGACAGGGGCTTTTCACCCAACATTATTAATCAAGCAGTTAAAAAATTTCATCTCAACACACTAAAAGCCACACTCTTATTTTAGGAGATTATAAAAATTCTGTTGTCATTCCCTTCTTTCCATCAATTAGCTATAAAGTTGCACTATTTTGCAGAAATTTAACTTTCGGGTTGTTTTACTCTCCCATCAATAAAATTCCAACTTCTATACTCAAGGACCCCATTCCGGATATGAATTCCTGGGGTATTTATAGGATTCCTTGCCAGTGCGATTTAATTTACATTGCCCAAACTAAGAGAGCCTTAAAATTTCGCGTCAAAGAACATGAGGCATATGTTAGAAAAAAAGAAACACAGAAATCTTCTGTTGCTCAACATTGTTGGTCCGAAAATCACACTTTCAATTTTTCTGCTGCCAAAATTATTCAAAAAAACATCTTCCATTGGAGAACAATGGATTTTCTAGAGGCATTTCACATTCATAAAAATCTTTCTGTTCTAGTTAACGATCCTAATTCCAATCCAAATTTGCCTTCGGCTTTTAGAGAAATTATGTTTTAGTTCTGGTTTCGCCAACAGATGGCGCCACTTGCTTATTCTTGTCCAGGCTTTCTTATCTTATCTAAACATTATTTCCTATCTTGTTCATTTGCGGTTTTGCAGCTGAAGATGATGGTTCGGTAAAACCATCGAAACTAGTCCTGTGAAATTTTGTAAATAACGCTGATTTGTTGTTTGACTTCTGAATTAGCAAAATATGTTGTCTTAATTATAGCATACATTATTAAATGAATTTAAGTCAATAACTCCCAGTTTTGGGCACGAGAACCTCCTACTTTTCCATATTTCAGGGTTGGCAGCTATGGTTTACATTGCCGAAATAGATGAACCAAAGTTTCTGTTACCTAGAATACCATCAAAATTTCATTAGCACCAAATCTTTATGAGAATTTAAAATCATATTTGATAACTTATTTCACCAAAACATTGTAGAAAAATATTTAACAATTTTGGTTTCTTGGAAGAGGAATAGATGCTAATCACATTAATTCCCTTTATTATTACTTTATTCTTCAGAAATTAATAGATGCTTTGTAATAGGGATTTCAATAACATGGAAGAAGTTGTTTATAAAGTGTTTAAAAAACATCCAAGTTGTTCATTTTCCAGATAAGTGCATGTAATTTGGTAACTTTTACAGACATAATAAAAGACCATTTTACATAAAATGCTATATAAGATGGAAAGTAAAAGTGCCTATCTGTCTGACTGTGTTGTGAAGTATTTAAAGAAAAATCCTCCATTAAACAATATCAGTCATATTAGAACATGTATCTTAAGATCATAATAACTTATAAATAGTCCTCTTTTTTTTTTTTTTTTTTTTAATTAGGTGCAGTATCCTGTGGTTATTTCAAAACTGGGCATTTTATCATCCCTTTTTCTACCAAATAAAAAAATTAAAGTTGCTATTTTAGATATTCAAACTAAAGTAAGTTTCATGCCACTATTTTTAAATAATATTTTTATCATTTATTATTGTTTTAATATTATTAGTAATTAACTATTGTTTTAATATTATTAGTAATTTAGAAAAAAGTGTTTGCATTATAATAATACAGTTTAAATCATTCTAGGAAATACTTGTTCAGACGACTATGTCAGCAAATAAGTCAACTCCTGTTCATGGATACGTTTATGCAGAAGTAGAGAAATTTGTATTACCAAAGGTTAGCTCTAGTTTGCATTGATGTGTATCACTTTTAGCAGTATTAATAGAGAATGGCTTTGTGATTTTTGATATTTTTATATAATTTGCAACAGTTTTTTCTTAAATTTGTTTAAGAAAAGTTATACATATCATAAGTATATAAAGTTATTAATACATTACACTCAGTTATATTAATAAATACAAAAAGTATTTTTGCTTTATCATATTCATTGTATAATTTGCAAGGCAGAGTAGTTATTTTGAACTAAGCACTAGTTTAAAGTAATGAATATAGCATTTACATGTAAGGAAAGAATTTGTGATTTTTGATATTTATTGTATAATTTTCAACACAGAGGGTTTTCTTTTTCTTCTCCTTCTTCATTTTTAATTTTTTTTTTCTACTGGGTTAACATTATGTATTCTCTTAAAATACATCTTGCACATGTCTCTCATTAATTTTATGAATTTGAAAATTTGAGCTATCTAATTGTTTTATAATCTTTTTTTCAACCTTTATTTTTTTCATCTATTGGTTCTGGGCATATATTCCTTTCCAAAAATGATTTAAATAAGAAAAATATTTGTTTACATAATTTTTAAGTTTAAAAAGTCATTTTTGTAAAAATTACAAAATCCACCTATATACTATGACAAAAAAATTGACACACCAAGAAAGAGTTGTCCGATGAAGACAGAAATTGGTGGATAGGAAGATTATGTATGGAATAAAAACTGATTAAAATTTCAGAGCAATTTAAAGATTTATTTCAGAGTTACATAGTTGCAAAGTAATGAGTTCAATAAGTTGTTGACTCATTTCTAGTCTGGATGCAAGCTGCCACACGGCATGGCAGAGACTGATAAAGCTCTTGGATGGTCTGCAGTATTTCTTGCCAAATTTGATCCAATTGTTGGGCTAGGTCATCAATATTCCCTGGTAGATGCAGTCACCTTCCCATCATATTCCAGACATGATCGATGGAACAGAGATCTGGCTGGCCAAGGAAGTGTTTGACAAGGTGTGAGAGTTCATAGTTCAATAATTCAGAATGCGTTATTTTGTAATTTCAGTCATTTTGGTCTTCTGTTTAAAATTTCTCCAAAGCATAGCCAAAACCATAGACAGTGAATTGAATACCATCTGCATATTCTTCCTTTGGGTATGGTAATCCAGAAATCTCTCTATGACATATGCCTGTAGTTGAGGAATTTCCACCCTGATCAATATATTTGTTAGCAACACTGGCTGCGATACTATCAGATGTGTATTTAAATTTTGGAGAAATCTTGAACAAGTGTAGAGTATCTGCGTAGAAAGGGAAGACTTGGAATACTAGAGGGGTGTTCTTCCCTCCAGTATTCTAAGAAAATGGAAGAATCAGAAATTGAGACAGATCTGAACAGTAAGTGTAGCAAAACTATAATTGCACAGACATTGACTGTAAATCCATTCTGCTGTTCCAACCACTTTTATTGCTCTGCCCTAATTGATGCATTGTAACAACATAGAGGAATATATTCTAGTGCAGACTGCTGTTTTACAGTTCACACATAAACAATTCCAATTTAATTTGAAAAATTTTGAAACAAATGTTCATCAATTGATATTTTGACTGAAACTTCAAGTCATATTCTTTCAAATGGAAAGATAAATTCATAAAGATTTTCACTACTGCAAAGAAGGCAGAGTCTGCCATCCACTCTGGATCATCAAACCCTGCTACTAGCCTGACTTGTTTTCATGAACTTTTAGATAAACTTTTGCACTTAAAAATTTATCTGAGCTCTCTAAGGTAGTTCAGTCATTGCACATGACAAAAGTAGGTGACATCATTGTAGCTATTATAACATTCTGTTTGTAAACAATGTTGAAACTGACAACAATTCCAAACCTGAGACTGGATGAATTTTACTGTATCAATGGAAACATTACATTATCAAACCTGAGAGATTTCAAATGGAAATTCTGATGAATTATACATTGGTACCTGATGAAGCTGAAACACTTATTTTTGTAACAAAAGTATGAGAAATCTATATCTGCCATAATTGTATGATATTAGTTAAATCGATAAATGATGTTTGCTTGTGAAACACAATATCAAAGAGTTGCACAAGCAAACATCTAATTCCTTTTTAAAATTTTCTTTTATATTGGTAGCTAATTCCTCCATCTATTGTGTGAATACCCAATTTTTTTTTAAAGCAGCAACTTTTTTGGAATACACACATACTTCAGTTGCAAAAAGTCATTCATTGGAAAATAGCTGTCAGGAAAAAAATTTATTTCTGCAAATTTCAATATAAGGAACTATGGAGTAAGAAAATATGTAAGTGACCTCCATTGCCTATAGTACTTTATTTATAATTGGAGGTGGATTGTAAGCAGACAGACATTGAGATGACACGGGGTCACTGAAAGTAGAACTTTAAATTTTTAGAATGAGGAGCAATGTCTACTCCAATATCCATATAATTTATTTCTTTCATCAGTTAGATTAATTGATCATCACTGAAAGCATTGTCTAAACTGTAATTCAGTGGGTAGGTTTATACTACATAAAAGAGAAGGGGAGACACAAACAACCAATTCCTCCAAGGAAATCAAACCTATGTCATTAGTTTCAGTCTGGACTATACAGTTTTAGGGTGACAAGATCTCTTATAGTCTTTATCTTCTTCAACACCTCCTGGAGATTTAACCATTACATGTTGATCTTCTGTCTTTTATTTTTCCTGTTTTCATCAATTCTAGAGAATGGTGAATGGCTTTAAGCAAAATTTTAAAGGGTTGAATAAACAACCTTGAAAAGCATTGCAAATTATACTAATATGGGTTACTATGCTGTTTATTTAAAAATATGTTACAAATCTTAAAGTTTAGAATATGACCTTTTTTTTTTTTTTTTTTTTTTTTTTTTTTTTTTTTTATAAATATCTGTAGCCTACATTATTAAGAAAATATACAGTACTGACCAGCCAAAACATTATGACCATACTCCCATATTTTAATGAACCCTCCTAGATGACGAGGAGAGTGCATGATTAAGTGGGAATGGTATTCAACTGCTGCTGGAGAATGTAAGGAGTCATTCTGGCACTTACTTTTGTATGTAAGGAGTCATTCTGGCACTTACTTTTGTGACAAATGGGAAAGGCAGCGCTGATCTAAGAAGATTTGATAGAGGGCAGATTGTAATGGCCCAAAGATTAAGAACAAGTATATCCAAAACTGCATGACTTGTAGGTTGGTCATAATTTGCCTTTGTTAGTATTTATGCAAAGTGGATAAATGATGGTGAAACCAGCAATAGAGGCCAAGGGTTGGACGTCCATGTGCAGTTAAAGAAAAAAGGATGTTGGAGACTCTCCGGCTTGGTACAGCAAAACCAGTGCCAGACAGAAGCTCAGCAGACAGCCCAATACTATGCAGGTCCAAGTCTTTCAAAACACATGGTTCAGTGGACACCGGAGGATGTGGGGCTGTACAGCACATATCCCACTCATGTGCCTCTGTTGACCGTGCCTCACTGTCAGCTATGCCTACCTAACAAAAATAAAAGACAGAAGATCAACATGTAATGGTTAAATCTCCAGGAGGTGTTGAAGAAGATAAGACTATAAGAGATCTTGTCACCCTAAAACTGTATAGTCCAGACTGAAACTAATGACATAGGTTTGATTTCCTTGGAGGAATTGGTTGTTTGTGTCTCCCCTTCTCTTGGATGTAGTATAAACCCATGAACACTGAGAACTGAACACTGAGACTGGACCATGAACCATATAAGACAGCTGCCTGGTCAGATGAATCACAATTTGTTTTTCATCAAGTTGATGATTGTGTCAGGGTATGCCATCTTCCAAGTAAGCAGTTACTACCCCTATACAGCAGGTTGTACACAGGCCTTATGGGTATCTCTGGGACCCTTAGTTGTGGGAGAAAAGACCATGAAAGCTACAGACTATCTTAATATAATTGCCGATCAATTGCACCCTTACATGTGTTCTGTCTTTCCAACTGAAAATTGAATCTTCCAGCTGGGCATGCTCCATTTTGAAGGTTTGAATTGTGTTGGAGTGGTTTGAGGAGCATAAGGTTAAATTCCAAATGTCCTGGCCACCAAACTCGCTGTATCTTAACCCGATAGAGAACATTTGGGATGCCATAGAGATGCAGCTTACTGCTTTGACATTGTCTCTAGTCATCTACTAAGAACTTATGGCACCCATGCCAAGGTGAGTTGCAGCGGTTTTGCAGGTTAAAAGTCGCAGAACATGTTGTTAAGTAGTTGGTCATAAATTTTGGCTCTTTAGTGTAGATTTAAAATAAATATACAAGAAATGCATAATTTATCTGAGCCCAAAAAATAAGTAATATTTGTATCATAAATTTATAAAATATTTTCTAACTTTCCAGCACTATGAAGGTATGGTATTCATAGAAGGCTATTTAAAAACTTCGGTGTGTTCTAAGATGATTTGGAATAATGGAGGTGGAGTGATTACTTACAAAAGGGTAAGAAATGTTATGAAATCTAAACAATTGAATATTAAATCACTTTTACTATCTTTGAAATCCTGTTTTTTAAAAAATGTGCAGGCAGAATAATTACATTAAAAATTAAAATAAATCTTTAGTATTTTAGTGTATATTAATTTAATAATGATTGGAAAGTCATACACATCATGGTAAACAAAGAAAATTTGCTGGTTCTATTCACAAACTATAGTGTATTGGGTGCTACTTTGGTAGACGGTTGCACGGATTTTTGGCGATTTACGTTGGCACAATTGTTGACGCGATTTTTACAAACGTCAGCCATCTTGAAAAACGATGTTTTTATGCATAGTAAAGTATTCAAAACTTTAAAAAAAAATAAATATCGTTAGAAGTAATTGATTAAATTTTTGTTGAAAATGTCGTTTTTTAAGATGGCAGTCAAGTGTAAATAAATACATTTAGTATGAGTATAAAATACTAAAGTAAGGTTATTATTAATTTCATATAGCAAAGAAGAGAATAAAAACACCGCTATAAAAACATTGTGCCAACGTTTAATTAGGTTAAAATATTACTGAAATTGAATATCGAATTAAAAACCATCATACCAACATTTAAAAGAATAAGAATATTATTAAATTCAAGTACTTTAAAATACGTTATATAGAATATAATTAACATTAAAACATATGGAGAATAATTATCTCAGCAATTTTTGAAAATAGTGTATTAATTTTTTTAAGAAAATTTGAAGTATGCAATTATAAAATAAAAGAAAAATATGTACTTACATTTTTTTAGTCATTTAACATGTTGTTTATTGATAAGTACCACAAAAAATCGGAATCATAATTTAGATAACATCTTTGAAGGAATTCGAAGATATGAATTAAATTTTAAAAAGGCGCGGAAATGCACAAATTGTCAATAACCAGTCAGGGAGCTGATTACAGCTCGTTAATGCACAAATATTCTATAACCAATCAGAGAGCTTATTACATCACGTCTAGAATTAAAATTATTTAAAAATTCATACATAATAAAATCATTTTCTAAAAAAATGCAAAATTAAATTGTATTTTAATATTTAACAGCCATAAATAATGTTTAAAACATTAGATTAAATTTATACATATTAAAATCAATTACTTTTAAAGTAAGGTGACGTCATTGATTACATCAACCACAACATAAAATTTCATAAAATATGATAAACAATAAAATTTTTATTTCAAATAAAAATGCAAAATTAAATTGATTTTTAATATTTAGAAGCCATAAATAATATTTAAAACACGGAATTTATGCACAATAAAACACATTATTTTTTGAATAAAATGACAACAAAGTATTGGTTACCATAAATGACTTATCCAGCAATGGGTTTACCATAAGTTGTATTACTCGCCAAAAGAAAATCGCCAACATCCGTGCAACCGTCTACCAAAGTAGCACCGTTTATTGCCTTATATTGTACAAATGTAACTTCAAACCATATCTATATAACATATACTCTAGAGGCAGTTGTGTTTAGTGATGCATGTACATGCTGTTTACTATATTTAACTAACACTGTAATGTTTTTAATGTGGATTATTTGTATTGGCCTTTCCTTTAAGCCAGCTCTTTCTTTCTTTTTTAATTCTGCGTACCCCTCAATAGTTGAAGCATTCCTAACTTCCCCTTCAGAATCTTTGAACTCCACCTTTTCTAGAATCCCTATAATATGTACTGCTGTAGCATTATTTTAATACAGTAAATTTAATAAATTGTGATGAATAAGTTGAAAAAGTATAATCAGAAAGTTTTTCTTTTTACCAAGGAATGGTATTTTGAAGTTGCTTTAAAGAAAACTTTGAAATAATATGAAATCCAGGTGGTCTCCTCATTTCATTCGGTAAAGTGATGTTTAAATGACCTAATCCATTTAGGTAGTTTATCATATTGTCTTTGTTTATAAGCTCATATTTTGGCATGCAGTTGTAGCATTTAAACATTTTGGTCTTAAGACACAAATAACACGCCTAATAAATACTAATTCAGAAGTCAAACAACAAAAATCAGCGTTATATTTACAAAATTTTCACAGGACTAGTTTCGATGGTTTTTACCGAACCACCATGCTCAGCTGCAAAACCGCAAATGAACAAGATAGGAAATAATGATGAGATAAGATAAGAAAGCCTGGACAAGAATAAGCAAATGGTGCCACTTGCTTATTCTTGTCCAGGGTTCCTTATCATCAACATGGCTGTGGAATCATTACCAAAGGGATCAAATCTCTGTAGAAGACGTGGGTCTAGATTCCGGAGGATCACCACATCGATGAACTATTCCTTCCTGTCACTATGTGCAAAACACTGTAGATCACTAACAACACAACAGCTGGCATGGAATTCCTCTGCACAGCAGGATGACCCATATCCAGCTAAACTGTGACACAACTGCATGAAGATGAACTGTATGCCTGATGACTTGTTGTAGTGTTCCTTTGTCCCCATTGCATGTCAGAGTGTTATTGAATTAGGACCATGAACATCACAGTTGTACACCAGCGCAGTGGCACCACATACTCTTTTTGGATGAGTCTCAATTTAACATCCAGAATGATTCCTGAAATGCAGTAATATGGCAAGAGCCAGGGACACTCTATCGGGCTCCAAACATCATCAAAAGAGACATTACAGAGGAAGATGCTTACTTGTATGGGTTGGAATTACAACAAACAGCCGCACCGATCTTTAAGTAATTCCTGGTGGTTCTGTCACAGCCATATATTGCGACAAAATTCTTTTCCCTCTTGTGGCTTCCTTTTATCTCAGCAATGGATACAAACGTGATATTCATGGACATTAACACCATCCCGCATTGAGCTTGAGTGGTATGCAGGTTTCTGAAGAGTGAAATCATTCCACATCTGCTGTGGCCTGCTACATCAATGTCCCTGAATTCCATACAGCATGTATGGGACATGTTAGGACGACGGATAACAGGTCGTAGTGTGCCGCCAGGCATCCTATATGAGCTCCAGCATGCATTACTACAGGAATGGGTGCTGCTGCCAACTTGCCTCGCCGTTGTTAAGCATGCATTTCAGCTAGAGGGTATCATACCCATTATTAGCATGATATTTCCATTGCACATTCTTCGGACCAGTCTTTCTCTATGTGATGGTCATAATGCACGTGTTTTTGTATGTCTGCTTTTTTGTTTATTATGTGGTCTAATAAGGCACACCAACCTTTTGGATTAATTCCATTCATTTCCATTAAATAGTTTTTGTTTTATTCCATGCTTTGCCTTTGTTACTTATTTTTTTAGTAGGAGTGTAGTTTGAAAACCATTATGAAGGTAGTCTGTAATTCTAAGTTGAGTTTATTTCTGAAAAACTATCAGATAGGTATGTCTGAAAAAATATCCGATATTAGAAGTTTTTGAAGTCATTCTTAATTATGAAATTTCAACTTTAACTGAAATAGGTGGTCTTTAAATAAGCTCTTGATGTAGAACTATTTTTAAAATACATATCCATTTTTATATAAACAGCACTTCACATTTAGTAACTTAAAAAAAGAGAAGCTAATTTCAGAATAAAATTCTGTGCTCTCAAATTAATTTAAATGTTAAAGTTATAAAAAAAGAAAAAGAATTCATAAGTGATGTGATGATTTGCTCAGTACCAAAAGTAGAATTGGTTGCCAGTTGTTTCATATGTTTGTGGTGACAGAGTAGGAAAAGAAATAGCTAAGGACTACTAATTTGCTTTTGTACACATTTCAGTTAGAAATGTCACACTAGAAATTCTCTCAGTTACTTCTCTTTTATTTAATGACAAATTTAAATATCCTAAATATTTTCCTTTCTGTCAGCACTTTGCACTTTTATAACTCTTTGCTATTTTCCATCATGCCTGGTTACTTTTTCATGTAGCTATTGCACATTCCCAGGTGTATGTGCACTCAGATTGGGAACTGTGGCTTCATTAATCTGTGGGTAATAAATCAAGTGATTGCAAGGGCTATAATCCTTTCAAAATATGATTGTCCCCCCCCAAAAAAAAACAAGTAAGAATTGAATGGTTTCATTGAACATGTGAAAAATAGTACCGTTTTGCCAGAACTAACATTCATATTGTTCGATTTCAAGAAGTTCGATAAACTGTAGTCTTAGTACACTACATTCATTGTTCACTGTAATTTCAAATACTGTTCAAATGCACAATACTGTAATACCTTACTTTAGGAAAAAGCAACATTTGCTTAGCAATATAAACAAAGATAAGTCTGCACTAGAATTCCAAATTCAGGCTTATGTGAACATTCAGACTACAAATATTATATATTGTTACAGATTTTGTATTTATTTAGCTATTTTTAGTAGAATTAATTAAAATTATTTTATATCCCCGTGCAATGCAGCACGAGACTTATTTGAAGAGAAAGCTACGCAAGAAAAATTTAAATACAGGAGCACATGCATTTAACATTTTAATAAATAGATATCGCATAATTGTACTCTTTTGCTATCCAGCAAAATCAAGAAAATACCAGAGTGCTCTCGTGCAGGATTAAAAAGATTATAAAAGCTGGAGGAAAACATCTCAATTCAGTTGATTTACAAGTTCTTGTTGTTGATTGTTATGAATTCACGGTGAGATCGGATTAGCTTTCTCTGTTTTGAATCAAGTTCTATTCAACATTTTAGTAGTGTTATGGAGAAACAGAAAATATGTAAATAAAATATATTCAAACAGTTCATTCAATTGCAGGCTGCCTCTACCCGAGGCTGGGTGCATTATGAATACAGACAAAAAATTCTTAATAAACCATTCTTTATTTTCATCAAAACAGTCTTACCCTTCCGAGATCAGCTTTTGTTCTGTCTACAAGCAAAACATTCGAAACATTCAGCACGCAGGCTAACGTCACGAACGGCAGCGCCTCGCACCAGTTATTACTTCAGTTCATTTCACAACATCCTCCCCGCCCCCCCCCTGTTGAGTCTCGAGCTCATAA